TTGTGGTCTAGTGGTCTATTGGTGACACTGTGGAGCAGCCTGCATCTTGCAGGCCAAGCTCTCATCGGTTGGGTTCGTGGGGATGTCGAAACCACTAGTCACTAGTCTCTGTAGGAATGCGCTACGCAAAACCTATATGCAACTGGAAGTGCAAACGCCACAGGGGACTAGCTAGCAGCCCAGGTATTCATTCGAGTAAACGTCGGTCGAGGCGTCTGTCGTGTGACGTCCTGGCGGTCTGCCATCAAAGCCAATTATGCGCAAAGCTCACACAACACAATCTCCAGACCTTCGTGGCCGGTCGCTGCGGCCCGTCGTTGGACGGCACCTTCGACCCGCGAGGGTGATAACCGACAACTATCCAAGCACATCTGAAAAACTGAGCTCAACACGTCAACAATGCGTAAAGCATGAACGAAGAACAGAACAGCATCCACTCAGACGGACTCGAGACAAACCCTTGCAGATCAGGTCAGATGATCAAGACCTGAAATAACGAGTTCATCTCGATTCTCCCTTACTGCCGGTATCTTGTTACTATGATTACTAGGATTGCTTTGATCTCTATTACCATTAATACTCGTGGTAGCTTTCTTACTAGCATTGGTGTTGTTGCCATTATTACCTTTAGTAGGATTATTAATATCAAAAGTATTCTTATCATTCTCACGACTACTGTTGTTAGTCTTCTTCCAAATAGTAGGAGAAGTAGTAGTAGTAGTAGTAGTAGTAGTAGTAGTAGTAGTAGTAGTAGTAGTAGTAGTAGTAGTAGTAGTAGTAGGCACCCCCCCCCCGACCAACTACACTTGCTCTCAACCACGTTAAGACAACATCCATTTTACTCGGTATTTACGGCACTTTCGTCATGTGCGATCATCCTAAGAGGCCTAAAAATCGACTTGTCGAGTTTGCAAACTCGGGCTCTTGATCTTGGAATTGCTTCTGGGGGTGGGTGGGGGGGTGGGGGGGATGATGACGACAGTGTTACGCGAACACACCCAGCAGTATCACCACAAGAGCCATTTAACTCGGTATTTACGGTACTTTCGTGATGTCAGACTTTGTTACATATTCTGAGCCTCTACTTCTCGACTATGCGTATTAAACTTTGCTGTTTGGAACTGTTTGCAAATAAACTCGAAATTGGTTGGGGGAAAGCTTCTTCGGGGATGATCACGACACTGTTTTGCGGACACCCTGAGCAATATTTCCACACTCAAGCGCGCACACGCCACACACACCACTTCAAAAACAGACCCTCCTACGCAGAGGTTGGGCGGTAGGGGTGTTGGCGAGCCCCTCCCACGTACAGCTAGCATCTTTGTTTTTGATGTTTAGAAGATGTTGCGCTTCAGGTTTTGCAAATGTTAAACCCTTGTTGGCAGCACCTGGGTTTTGCACGGTATTTACAGCGTTTTCGTACTATCCTTCCACCTGGGGTTTATCAGTTTCTTCCCCGTCGAGCTTGCAACTCCAGCTGCTGTCGCAGTTTTGGGGCCTGAGCCCCTGCAACTTCACCGGCTGTGACACTTCAGGAAACTGAGCCTCTGCAACTTCTGCAGCTGTCACAGATAAGGAGCCTGAGCCCGTGCATCTTCTGCAACTATCGCAATTAAGGCGCCTAGCAGCTACCGCTGCCCAGCCCGGATGGAACAAGTGTAGTTGGGAGTGGGGGGTGGCTAGTAGTAGTAGTAGTAGTAGTAGTAGTAGTAGTAGTAGTAGTAGTAGTGATAGTAGTAGGAGTAGTAGTAGTAGTAGTAGTAGTAGTACGGTTGATGATATAAATCCTGCATGGCCCATAATAAGGAATATACCATAATTCCCATAGTTTAGGGCCCTTAGGGTAATGCAGGATTTATATCATCAACAGTAGTAGTAGTAGTAGTAGTAGTAGTAAAGATAGTGACAGTAGCAGCAGCAGCAGCAGGAGTAGTAGTAGTAGTAGTACTAGTACTAGTACTAGTACTAGTACTAGTACTAGTACTAGTACTAGTACTAATAGTAGTACTAGTACTAGTAGTAGTAGTAGTAGTAGTAGTAGTAGTAGTAGTAGTAGTGGTAGTGGTAGTGGTAGTAGTAGTCATAGTAGTAGTTGTAGTACTAGTACTAGTACTAGTACTAGTGATAGTAGTAGTAGTACTAGTACTAGTAGTAGTAGTAGTAGTAGTAGTAGTAATACTAGTAGTGGTAGCAGTAGCAGCAGTAGTAGTAGTAGTAGTAGTAGTAGTAGTAGCAGTAGTAGTAGTAGTAGTAGTAGCAGTAGCAGTAGCAGTAGCAGTAGCAGTAGCAGTAGTAGTCGTAGTGGTAGTGGTAGTGGTGGCAGTCGTAATAGTACTAATAACAATAATAAGACTACTACTACTACTACTACTACTACTACTACTTCTGCTGCTACTGCTACTACTACTACTACCACCACCACTACTACTACTACCACCACCACGACTACTACTACTACTACTACGACGACTACTACTACTACTACGAATATTAATTCAGAAAAAAGCTTTCTCATCATTCCTAATGCTATTGTTGTTTTTTGTCGGGAGTGCTTGATTTGGGCTGTTTGGGAGCTGCCTCGCCCGCAGGTCTCGAGCTTCTCGAACGATGAAGCTGGACCTCATGGCGAGACCATGACATACTATACTATGCTACACTATATGCTATACCATATGCCATGCTATACTATACTAAACGATGCGATACGATAGTATACTCTCCTATACAGAACTGGGCTGTACCATGCTATACCCACAGTATCACACCCCAGCCACCGACACGTTTATAAGAAAGCCCTTCGAAAGACCTCTTGGGCCTGCACGATGGCAGAGTTCACTGCCCTGGCTGAGCTTGTCAGGGAAATTCGAACCCTATACACTAAATCGTACTCTGTAGTCAAAGAAGCATGTGCCTACTGTAGTCCTATTTCAACTTTACCGAATGCCACTTAACCAGGTTCGACGACGACTACTACGACTCTCGTGTTACCACCACCAACAACAACCACACCTCGATCGCGACTGGGACCAAGTCCGCGACCTATACAGCAACTACCACTAGCACCCACTAAGGACGACGACGACCATTGCCGAACGGAAGCTAGACTCTCAAAGCTGCATCACCCGCAATTCTTGCATTGCAACCCTCCCAATCCTCAAATGTCGGAGCAGGCGTTGGTTATGTTGAAGTGCCAGCGTGCGGGATCCACAGAGTATCAAGTCGCCCTGACAAGCATGAGAGAATCTGGACAAGCTGATTTCTAAGTTCCCAAAAACCACGACTCCGTTCCCCAATGGCCCAACTCCTACGATCCAAAGCTCCTGCCTCTGCGAATGGTCCCTTGCAGCCTGCTTCCAGACTGGCTCCCGTGGAGTTCCTGCTGCCGGAGAAGAAGCCAGTTTTGCAGGACCCTCACGGTTTTTTGCGATGTGCGTTCCGCCGCTTTACATCGACCATGCGGGAGGCAAAACATTTCAGACGCCTAAGCCTACTGCACGAGCGCAACGGCGACTGCCTCAATCCACACCATGACATGGGTTCAGATGCGACGATATGGCAGAAGACGATTACTGAGGCGCTCGGACACTGGAACCGACGACGACAAATGATGAAAGCGACACTGAGCTCTTGAATCTGCCAAGCGTGCGCTGCCTTGACTGGGGAACGGCCCGCCAACGGGCATCCCACTTACAACAGCGGTACAAGTGCAAGCGCTGACTAATTATGGTGCTTGCTCTTCGTCCCGGTCCTTCCTATCACTTGCCCGTCTCACCATGATTTCTCTTCTTGCCCCGGCGGTTTTCTGTCTGGTAGACTGATAGACCTCTGATGCAAGCCCTGCTCATCGCAAATATCCCCGCCTCTCTCCGTCTCCGGGGTCTGGGACCGCGGCGTCGCTGGTGTCGAGCTCGGAGCGAGGCCTATCCGTAGTGGAAGCTGGCACCGAAGGTGAGAATCATCAGGGGCTATAGATGTCTGACGTAGAAGAAAGTCTCTAGCTTCCAGGGCTCATGACATCCGAAAACCCTGCGATGCAAGACACTTGCGAGCCCGATACACTCTCTCAAGGAAAACCGGCCTTGTGCCGTCGCTTCCGGCCGCCTATCACGAGCTTGACTGTGCTTGGCTGATGCAATAAACATTAGTAGGTTAATGGGCCATGCCCGGCTGGAAGTTGAGAAAGAAAGGGCGGAGTTGGGGAGTTGGGCTCCAGAGCTACCAACTCCGGCCTTCTTCTGCTCGTCAACGGGTCCTGCAAGAGACGAGGCAGCAAGAAAGTCAGCAGCACGGCATCTCTTGGGGCTTTGGTCGTGGACCTTTTAGAGCCTGGTGTCAAGGAAAACCTGAGGATGCCGATTCTCATTCTGCATCATGCACAGTAGCTTTCAAATTGCGATCATCCTCCGTCTCCACCCCACAGGTGCCAGTGAATCTTGCATCTTGCCGCGAAATCATGTGCTGTTTTTGTGACGCAGGATGACGGCTGCAACAATTTCTTGCGCTGGCAGAAAGGAGGAGCGCGGCTGGGGCTGCCACTGACGACAGCGGGCGCTGGAGCTCTCGCCGTATCTCGGACTTTGCCTCGGCGGCTTTGCCAAAGAGAGATGCCATCTCTTCAGTGGTCAGGGGGAGCGCGCAACTACTGCAGATCCTCAAGACATCAACCGCGCAGACTCGAACCCGAAACCTTCAACTCCAAACTCTGTCCCAAGTCCCTTCCGGCCTGTCGTTCGAGATGCTCCTGTGCGCGTAGGCCCCGGCTCCCGGTCCAGAAATCTTTCCGAACAGGCGACACCGATGGCCTGGCAGCATCTGTTCTGCCTCGATGAAGTTAGCTTCTTGCACCCGACACAACTGCAGTGGGCTTCGGACAGTCAAACCGGCGCAGGAAGTCTATTTCGCGCATGCACAGCACTTCCGACACGCAGAAGCTGTGATCACACATGCATATCCATGTCAAGGCCTTTTTGCCTACACATGAACTCCCCAGTTGCCTTGGACTACCATGTCTCCGGGCTGACTGGGCCTGCATGTATTCTGCTCCTGCGATCAGAGCAGTCCCTTCTGTTCCAGAAATGCAAACTGTTCAGCGCTACGGCGGCTACACTTCCTCCAGCCAAAGCCAGCACGGCATCCGGCGCCTGTGCTCGGTGGCTTCGGAAGAACATGGCGACTCTGTCGAGCTGAAGTCCCATGCTGGCCTGTCCCGCTGGATGCAACTTCTCCTCCTTTTCCGGCTGCAGCCCTGCGCCCGCGTTCCAGGCTGGCACGCGGCCTTTGGTTTGCGGGCCTCAGAAGCCGACTGGGCATGGGTTCAACTACAACGTGCATGAGATCGCGGTCTAGTAGTTGCTGTGCTTCAATGAAGCCCCAAAACCCTACACTCCACACCCCTATATTCCAAACCCTAAACCCGGCCAATGCTGACAAAGAGCGCTTTGGCCTCGCTTTCACTTTCACGGCCGTCTTTGGCGGCTTCGGCCGAAGCTTCGCTGGCTCGCTTGGGTCCACACGCGGCCTCGGGGATTCGCATAGATAAGTACAACGATGTCTGTAGAAACATGTGCGTATACATGTGCATGTACATATAAGCATAGATATATATATATATATATACATGCATATACACACGTATATGAATCTACATAGATACACATACACACATACAGACATAGATACATGGATACATACATACATACATACGTACATACATACGTACATACATACATACATACATACATATATATATATATATACTGACGTACATACATAGATACTCAGACATATCTGTCTATCCACCTATCTATGCATTTGCACGTATAGACAAGATTAATACATATATATATATATATATATATATATACATATATATATATATATACTCATATACATATACATATTACCATGTCTCTATCCATCCCTCCCGCCATCCGTCTGTCCATGCATGCATCCGCCCATCCTCGTTCACTCACTCTTCACTTCACTTCGCGAGGGTTAGGCTCCGAGAAGCCCGCGCCGAGGCGCCCCCATACCCCATTGTTTGGTGGGAGGGGCCTTGGGGCTGCTTTCCACGGGGTTGTTCCCCGGCGGCTTGTACGAACGGTAGAGTCTGCTGGTCGGTAAAGCCAAACCCCCCTGAACACTATCGCGCTTCCCGGCCTCATCACGGCGCTCACTAAAGCTAAGTCCTTAGGCCTACGACAGGCAGGTTCCCCCCGGTAGTTACAGCGGCCTGGTAACACGTCCCCCAACTTCGACACACTGTGCTAAGGCCTGGGCTAAGGTTCTGGATGACTGGGGAAGTGTGCAGCAGAGTTTGACTGTGCAGACAAATTGGGTATTTGCATAGTGTATGTTCCCCTCTGCTGCTGGTTGGCCAGTCTTACTAGTGGTAGACTCGGAGGCTGTTTTCCAAAACACACCGCTGTAACAGGAAACTTAAGGATCATAGGATTGCCTCCCTTTTTGCCTACTCTTGCTTGCTTGCTTGCAAAGCGTATGGGGTGTGGGGTTGGCCCCCATGACCCCTGCGCGCGAGCGCTACGCCTGAGTCTGTGTTCGGTGTGTACTCTCTCTCTCTCTCTCTATCTCTTCTCTCTCTTCTCTCTCTTTGCTTTGCTTTGCTAGGGGCTTGGAGCGGGAGAAGTCCTCCCGCCCCGCGCGGGCGCGCTGCCCCATCCATCATTTGGAATGGATGGGCTCGATCTTTACAAAGGATTGGTGCTCCTGTTTTTCAGGAGGCGGGCGGCCGGGTCCCCCTCTTTGGTTAAGAGTAGGTAAAGCACAGTTCTCTGGGTTTCCCGCGCCACTCAAACGTTTGTTGGTAGGTGCTCCCGTTCAGCTTGCATCGAGGTAAACAGCACATGTGGAAACAAAGTACTGCCTAGGCGAAAGTGTCTGCTGAAACGGGTGCCCCCCCTTGGCTGGTCCCCTGCCTTAGCCTAACCCGCCTTGTCACCCTGCCTCAAACCGAACATAAGCCTGATCCCTGCAGCAGCACTGCCTGAGACCTTCCAATCAACCCTGAAGCCTGCGGAGTAGTGGGTGCCCCTCTTTCCCTGTTGTCTCTCTCTCTCTCTCTCTTTGCTTTGCTAGGGGCTAGGAGCGGGAGCAGTCCTCTCTCTCTCTCTCTCTCTCTCTCTCAGGTACGAGAGGAAGGGCGGACTCTCTCTTTTTTTCTTCGCCTGGGCTAGGGCCGGCTAGGGGTGGCCTCTCTCTCCCTCTATCGCTCTCGCTCTCTCTCTCCCTCTCTCTCTCGCTCTCTCCCGTTCTTTCTTTGTCAAGTTGAAGAAAAAATCTCCCTCTTTCTCTCGCTCACTCTGACTCTGCGTAATGCAACGCTGCAACAATATGAAGTCCCCGCGCCTGGGCCGGGCCAGACGGGAAGGATCCGGAGGCGGTGCTGGAGGTGCTGGCGGCTGCTCGGGCGCCTGCGCCCGTTGGCAGGCATGGATGAGCCTGCACCGGATATGCTCAAAGGGCTCTGCTGGCATCTGGAGAGACCGAATTTCCAGACAAGTACTGCCTCGCAAGCTTTTGCTCTTGCCGTGCATACGAGCAAGGATGACTCCGGTCTCCAGCCAGATTACGACTAAGCTTTGCCGTGCGGCTTTGCACAGGTACCACCCAGCCTACTGCAGATGGCTCAGGCTTCTAACGTGTGGTATGATCTGCAAACATGTTAAGCGAACAGCACAGCAACTGCCTCCGGCAAAAAATCGTTCCTGCCTACTTTGACAAGGCTCTGATACAAGCGGTGCTGGTGCTGGTGATGGCAGCAGTAGCAGTAGTAGTGATAGTGGCGGCAGGAGTAGATGTAGTAGTAGTAGTTGTTGTTGTTGCTGTAGTAGTCGGAGTAGCAGCAGTAGAGGTAGCAATGGCATGGGTAGCAGCAGCAGCTGCTTTTGATGTGGCCGCTGGTGCGCTTCCCTGCTCTGCTTTTGCGGCCTCAGGGCCAAAGGATGCTTCGAGCCGAAGAGCACAATCGCCAGGACCAGGCCCTCACCTGGTTTGATAGGGCTTCTTGCGAGATCCCACAGCACAGGCGGAGAGATCACTGGATTCCGAAGCATCTTTGCCGCTTTCCATGATCTACCCGCACCTGCGCAGAAACCATAGAAAAGTCCTGATTTGCTCAGCAGCTTTTGTGCGCAAGAGGTGGCGATCTAAAGTCGCGAAGATGCAAAGGGCGGATGATCTAGGAAATTTAAGGAACCCAATGAAACTCCTGCATGTTTCCCAAACCCTCAGTCCTACAGTGTCTTAAGTTTAATTTAACCCGAAACCCTGAACCCTGAAAACCCTGCAAACCCCAGTATGGTGACAGTGTAGCATAGTGTCTTCAGATGCGAGTTTCCCGGAGGGGGCACCACCCTAAACCCTAAACCCTGCAGTTTACTGAGTGTCAAGGTGCGCAGAGGGGGCACCACCCAGATGTCGTACAAGCGCTTGGAGCTCAGCTGCGCCAAGGCGGTTGCCGCATGCACGAAGGTGAGCCTTGGCTTCCGCAACGATTGGGCGGCACACACTATAACATATAATTTAGTACATTTTCAATATAGTGTATCAGCAAAGTACACCTGATGGTGCAATACAGCCTTCTGAGCTACGTCGAAGCCGAGGGCTCCGCAGTAGGCATTCGCGGAGGACCAGGCCCGCCCCTGGCACCGGCGCTTCGCTGGCGATCTTGCCCCACTCGGGCCAAACCTGGCGGCGAGAGCTCTATCTATCCATGTACCTATCTGTCGATCTTTCTATCTATACCAGTACATACATGCATACATACATACATACGTACGTGCGTACATACATTCATATATATATATATATGTCTATAACTATATATCTGTATCTGTATGAATATCTGTATATATATATATATATATATATATATACATACATACATAAATCTACATATTGTGTGTAGTGGATAGATAGATAGATAGATAGATAGCTTTTGCGTGCTTTTGCTTGTTTTTGGAACGGTGGGTTTTGCGTGTAGGGTTTAGGGCTAGTGTGTGGGGCTTGTACAATTTAGGGGTCAAAAAATATAGGGCCTGCAGCGCTGTATAGAGCGCCGCTAGCAAGAATTCAGACCCACCAACCAACCCAGTGATCCTTGCATTAATTATGTTCTACCAAAGGATTGGCCTCGTGAAACGATAATAAACAACTCAATGATCATCACCAGAATCATCATCAACATCAGCATGTTCATCTACTCTTCATCATAGTTCGATAACAGTACAGTAGCAAGCTTTAACACGAATAGGAACAACAACAAGGAGAAAAGGAAGAATAGCAATGAAATAGTAATCCGGCAAAGCAGAGCATACCAAAACTGATCCTCCGACGACACAAGCGTCCGTGATTCACCCGTGTACACGGTGGCTTGACGGTCATGCAGTTCCTTCAGAAAGACTGCTGGCTTCGTATGGAAGAATTAAGGTTTCAGACATCCTCCGAGAAACCCTAAACTCTAAACCCTAAACCCTATTCCCCGATTTGCTTCATGGCGCTTCCTAGCTGAGGCATAAGCATCAGAAGCAACAAAGAGAGCTCGGTTGCCTCGCTTCCCTTCAGCACCAAACCCCGAGATCGGGTTTGGTAAACCGAAACTGATGTGATGTGTAGAGACCTTACAGACCCTGAAGCTCTAAAACTCGAAACCCCAAAACCCTGAAATGCACTCAAGCCCAAGAAAACTCTCAAAACCATTTGTTCCACAAAAACAACTATATGTTCTAAACTAAAGCCCCTTGGGTCCGAACAACACCCCTAGCCCAATTCTTGTGCAAGGCCCGACCTTCTTCAGCTTGGCCGCGTGCTTCGCGATCCCCGGGGTCGCTATGCTCTTCAAAGCGGCCTGGAGCTTCTGTGGAGTGGGGGGGACTGTGTTGGGGCGTTGGGGGGGGCGGGGGAGTTTTGAGTCGTGGGGAGCTTGAAAACCTTTAAGCATTTGTCGGTTCTATCTTGTTCATGCACTGAGCTTGCACGTACAGTGAAACCCTGTAAAACCATTACAAAGCGCTTCTAACACTGTTTTACACACCCTCAACTATGTTGGGCCATGATTTTGCCTACTTGTGGGGGTTTAGGTAAACCAAAACACTCCACCCTAAACCCGTAACCCTAAACCGGAACCGCGACGTACTTGACAGCTGCTGCCCGCTCAGCAGCCAAGCCTCGAGGCCCACGTGTCCCTCGCCGTTTCGGTACGCGGAGACGATGTCCTGGCTCTGCTGCACCTTCGGAGAGCTCAAATCGAGCTTGCTTGTGGTTTAGCGCTTTTGGGGCAGGATTTGGGTTTAAGTTTGAGGGAAAAACCAGAACCGCATACTATGTTGTGAAACTGGCTGAAGTGCAGATGACACCAGCAATTTCTAGCTGAGTGCTGCTGTCTTCACTCTGCATGCACGCCCCATTCAGGGCGCGCCTATCCTTGCCATAACGACGAAGGCGACCAATCAAAAAGCTCACTTGGCAGGTGCTGGTCGATTGCTTGGCAAGCACCAGCACTGCAGTGTACCTCTAACTCTGGTTCCTTGTCTCCACCCAGGAAGAGCTGTCTTCTTTTCGGGCAGTGCCCGCAGTCCAGAGAAGCATCCGGAACCGAGCCACATTGTTGCTTCTGGACCTCGCATCGACACTCAGCCCGAGAAGCCTCTGACAAGCCATCACAGGCGGACTGCCCTTTTGGCACGTTCTCTCGGAGAAGGCTCTCGAAACGCTCCTGAGCTGCAGCATAGACCTCCTCATCCGCCTCGTCACGGAACCCGTTCAGGCGATCCTCTTCATAATGGTGAGCGCCGTCATGCCGGTGGTTGTGGTGGAAGTTCATAAATTCTGCGGGATTGATGGAGCCTCCAAACATGCGGTGGAAGAGGCACACGGACTCGTTCCATCGCCTTGCTCGGTTCATCGCATTAAGACAAGATTTCTGACAGTGAAGGTCAAGCTTGGAAACCCATAACAACTCAAGGATGAATGGCTTAAGGTACTGAGCATTGGGTTGGAGGGGAAAGAACACAGGAACTTCTCAAACAGACCAGAGTGCTCTGTCAGTCCCACAAAGGACAGCTCGCCAACGACTTTTTTGGCTTCGTCAACCAGGGCCCGCCCGCCATCGAAAGGGGCTGTTCGGTCTTTGCTGTCTTCGGCGCACTTCTTGCCAGTCAGCATGCGCGTCATGCAGCCCGCAATGCCCGGATATCGTGCGAAGCACTCCGTCGATTCGTGTTCACATTTGCTGCGCAGCTCAGCATAGCCGGCGGGGGAGAGGCCATTGGCGTGTAATCCATCAGCCTTGGCCGAGATAATGCGCTGGCTTGGCTGACGAAACATTGCTGCAACATGCAGTGCGCGGCCTTGTATCTGTTGCATAGAGACAGGCCGGTGTGCAGTAGTGAATTGCTTGTGCAATACACCCTGCATGCAGTACTCGTCCTTCGGATAACGCTCCATGAGAGCGTAGTCATAACAGTGTAGGCATTTGGGAGCATATGAATCACTCACTGTCAAGTCTAACAGCTCCCTTCCCTGCCCACATGCATAGTTCCATAGAGTTGCAATAAAACTCGTGCCCGCTTTAGGAAAATGTAGCCAGTAGAGATTCTGAACAGGATAAGTTTGTGAAGGTTTGTCAAATGTCATCCTCTGAGAGCACGCTGCTGCCAGACTCGTCTTGTTCTGTTTCCGAGTCATCTGCGTCAGCGCAGCCCTGGCTGGAACAGCATTCGCCTGTAGCATGCACGTGTCTTCGCCAGGGCATGCACCATCATCAGTGGCGCTAACGAGGGCCACCAAAAGGGCCCACCAAAAATGTCTTTGCATGCTTGCAAAGCACAGCGCGACAGTAATATGAATTGGTTCGGTAGTCGGACCCAAACAGCTTCGACAGGCACAACCGGAGTACGAGCTCAACCGCGTGTGAGAACTTCTTTGCACTCGCGTCTGCCACCGAGATGACCTCTTCCCCCAGCTCTGGCCACGGCCACAGGAGAACCTCATACTTCCAACTGAAGAGAGGAGGCGACACGACGGACAATTCCCAGCCTTGGCTACCAGGAGTGTCTTTACGACGGCCGCATCCACCTCGTACTGAAAGGCATCCTGTTGGCTGATGCGACGGTGCGACAGGTGCAGATTTCCACTCGACGAGTAGGGGCGGTGCCACCGGGCCCGATCGCACAGAGGTCCGTCAACAACAACTCAGTAGTGACCCTGCGCCCAGTCGACTCAGATATCCTGAAACCCAATAAGCCCCTGGACTCTCCTGAAACACTCTCTAAAACGAACTCCTTCAGTCCTTGCTGGACGCCGCTTGCTCCTTGCTAATAAGGCCGTGCCGACCTGTGGCACCAAACCCTGTCGCTGCAACACTGGGTACAGCCGGTACAGCCTGCTGGCCTAGAAAATTCAAGGCAGGGTCACAGAAACATCCCAGAGAGAGAGGGAGAGAGGCAGAGAGAGAGAGACAGAGAGATTCCAAGCTCTGCCGGGCCTGGCCTAGGCCTCTTCGAGGTCCGCTGTATCTGACACGGGATGTCCTGCCAACCTGCAAGTCCACTCTTCAAAGGCAGAGCATCCGGATCCATGTTCCTCTTCATAAATCCGATCTTCAGTCTCTGCCCTCCCGACGGCCTCCTTGCTCTGGCTCGCGAGGCTGCTCTGCGAGGCCTGCGAGGCTCGCGCATGGAAGCTGCTTTGGCCCCACACGGGGGCCCATGGGGGGGCCGCGCGCCTCGGGAGTCTCGAGACTCCCACCGGGCTCGACGCGAAGCCTGCCGAAGAGAACTTCTGGAGTCTCTGCGATGGACTTCTTTCTCGACTTCACCGGCCTCTGCTGCTCGTCGCCAAGGTCAATACCCCGGCCTGGCATAAGCAGAGAAGACATGCACCTCACACGAATAACTTCTGAAGGGTTGGCAGAAGCTGAATCCAATGCGCCAGACATACCGAGCGGGTCCATCTCCACCCAAAGGCTTTTGCGAACCCGGACATCCTGAGGGACCGTTCTCAGCCTTCCTCACATGTCAATCTCCGCACACCCCCGAGGCTGCCGCGACTTCGCTGCACATGTCCTGATCAGCGAAACTTGAACCATGAACCCGTTCGGAGGATCATAATATATCAGCTTTGATCCTGCAAAAAACCGACCTCCGGGTTTGCAGCAGGACCCAGGACGGCCAGAACCGCTGCAGTAGCTGCAGTGGCAGAGGCATCCACCTCGGACAACAGTTACCGAAATTGCGAGGCTCTCTGTGGAATGCTCCTGTAACTGTCAGCCAAAGTAGCAATCAAACAAATCGATCCGAATCTGGCTCGAGCTGATCCAACACCCCGCCGCAAACACTTTGACAGCAGAGCCTCACCACTGCTCTCAAAAGGTCAATACCGGCCAATTTGCCTGTGACTGTGCCATGCACTTGACATATTTCCACCCAAGCCGAAGCAACGCCGTGGCTGATCTCATACCAAGCCCTGTCTACATGCATGGTGGCTGATTTGTGGTGGCTGATTTGTGCTCTTTGGCTTCTGATTCATGATTTCGGGCATTTCGTTCGAGTACCTACAAACACTGCATCCGCAACGCTTTGATCCCTCGAGCCTCGGCGGCCTGCTGCGGACAGAGGCGGCCGGCCGCACTGCGCAGAGCGAGGACTGCCTGCATCGCGGGCTTACACGAGGGTGCTTTCAAGGCTCATTGCCAGGACACGCTTCAGCCTGCGAGAGATAGGAAAGGGCTGGCCCAGGCTCCCGCAACTGCAAGTGGGCACTGCCTTCAGCGCAGGTGCTTCTGTGCAAGTCAGGCGCATGAAGCTGGAGCCCCGCATAAGTTCAGCAGCACGGCAGGGTGCGCAAACTTGGCGTGCCCGGCGACTGCCTGTGAATCATGTTTAGGTGGGCATTGAACTTCTGCGCAGATGCCATGATGTCAGAAGCGCATCAGAAGATGAGGAGGCACAGACAGCGAGGAACCTTTCTAGGCTTGCGAGTCGCTTGCATTTTATGCGCTTACGTAACCGTGCCGTCAGATGCGCTTCAGTGTATGCATATGCATAGGCATCTCTGTATGCACATAAAGCAAGACCATGCGCATCTGCGCACGTAGCTAAATTTTGCACACATATTATGCTCTGGCGAAGTTTCTTGAGCCTGGCCTGCTCCAGGAAGCGGACCGCGGCTCTGGGCTTGCCGCGCTGCTGATAGTAGCCACCGAGGCCTCTCAAGCGACGTCGGCGCTTGTTTCTGTCCCCAGAGCACTGTGGTCCGAATGCCAATCCTAGTTTTAGGGCCCAGGATCCATATAGAGTTTTTCAAACCTGTTAAGTTCTCAAAAAGCAGCACTCCCGCGTAAGCACGCTCTGTGGCCGTGAACATCCCTGAACCCTGTTCACGCTCAAGTACGTACCCGAGGCTAGGAAACTCGCATCCAGCAAAGCTGGGTCAAGCTGGGACCCCGACCTGTAAGGCTCAGAGCACGGAGGAAAAGCCGATTGGGCACTAGCTTCGCGCCGAAGGTTTCCTCGGCTTGGAGCCCCCCAGAAGCGAGCCCGTCTAGAGGACTTGGAGACCTGGAGACTGTGCAAAAAGGGTTGCTGAAATTCTGCTAGTGCGCGGCCACATCGGTCCTTGTGAGGATCTCCGCGGTACACCTCGGGCTCGCTTTAGGGGGAGCTCTCTATAAGAATAAACATGCTCCTTCGATGCACCCCTTCTCGTGTTATGCACTGCTGATCACTGCTGAGCTCGTCGTCTCGGCGTCCCGCCGTCGACCGGGGCGGCGGCTGTTTCAGACTGTAATGTCGTGCTGCTACTGCTACTGCTGCATGCGGTGCCAAAGCGACGGCGGCAGTTGCCGTCGTCCTCCTCCCCGATGTTGCAAAGCAGTATCAGTACAGTACCAGAGCTAATCTACGATGCTGTCGTCGTCGCCGTCTTGCAGTAGCAGTCGTAGCAGGAGTAGCTGGACTGACCTCGGCGCTAAGCTGGGATCCCCGGCAGCATCTGGAGAGCCTGGTCGAAGATCCACTCCTTCTCGCCAGCTGCGGTAAGGCAGTCCAGCGACCAGGAAATGGCCTGAAACCACAAGGAATGAAGTCGCAACTTTTTTAACTCGCTGTTTGTTTTTCGAAAGGATGGGATGGATCAGTGGGTGGAGGTCCGAAGTCTCGTGAGAGGCTTAGGCGGTGTATCAGAGAAAGACCTGAAACAAGAGGCAGACATGCCCACGATAAAAGCTCGTCCCGAGGATCTTGCAGAGGCAGCCAAAGTCTGCCACCGCCGGCGAATCTCCGTAGGAGGCACCAAACCTCACGAGTCGGAAGTTTCTGTGAAAACCCCGGAAGAGACTTTTAACTCTGTGATACGGGCACCTCCTTACTGAAGCATGCTGTACATCGGAGTGTGGCAAGAGCGGTCCCAAAGACAGCACGAGGCTCATGGCAAAGACCCATCCTGCTTTGAGCTGACCCTTCAAGGATCCGAACACTCGTGCGGGCTTGAAAGCAGAAGCTTCATGCGGCAAGCACTGTGAGGCGCACTCTGCTGCTCTGCCAGGCACAGTGCAGCCTCCAACTCAGCCAGCGTGGCGACCTCAGATCCGCAAGCAGGGACGGGCGGTAATGAAACGAGGCCTCGGAGATTTGGAGCTGGTCCTCTCCGCTAGGCTTCGCACGGGTTGGCCCTGCTGCAGCATGATCTTGGCAGGGACAGAGGCACGACTCAGAAAAGTCAATCTGAATCTGTGCTTGCCTTGCCTGTAGCCGGCGCTTCTCAGCCATAGAACATGGCTTTTTCATGCCCATCGTTGCGCGCCGGAGCACTAAGGCCTATGACAATGTAATGAAGCCTCTGCACTTTTCCACGTCAGTGGATAGCAGAGCCGCTAGGAAGCTAAAGCACGGGAGCACCTTAGATGCCCTCGATGTCCAAAGCCCAAAATCACCTTTGCTCTTGGGCTTCACTAATGTATAAGGACTAGACTCAGGGTCGCGCAGCCAGTAATGACACGACTTGGTCCTAAAGGAAACGCTTCCCGGAACCATCTTTAAAACAAGAAGTACACGGCGTGGCTATTGAGCACGACGCTTGCTGAGTCGCTAAAAGAACTATGCTATGAAAATGAACGCAAAGCTAGTTGCGTGGAACGCAAATTTGGGAAAATCTGTCCAAGACCTGAACTGCGATCAGGTCGAAGCCAGAGATCTCCGAACCCGAGCAGAAAGCATGTGGGCTGGGCTGCCCCAGAAGTGGCTCATCCTGAAACTCGAACTCTTCGAGAACCCAAATTCCAACAGCGCCATGCTTAAGGGAAAATCATATCTCGGGTCATCTGTGCGAAGAGCTCCTGACGGCGCCGGACTGACGAATTTACTCGTCGCAATGTCTTCACATGTATCCGGAGTCATGATCACGATTGCACGGGCGATGAGATCAACATCGTAAGATACAGCTACAGACTGTGACTGCAGCCCTGTGCACAGTTGGGTCTGCAATGAAGGATTCGCGTTGAGTGCTGGTACATTATCATCGTTACAGGCTGAAAGTTTGCATGGCGCGCTCCTCGTCATCCAACTTCATGCAGGGTTCCATCCAAGCTTCTCCACGGCTTGCCAAGAAGCTTTGATGTTCCTGTGATGGCATGTCAGGCTCCCCCGAAGTGCTCAAACAATCACCAGCGTCCCGGCCTTCACCATAGCGTGCAGCAGGCTTCAAACTGGCCAGGGCTAGGGCAGGAGACCAAACAACTGGAGCCGCACTGCACCCAAAGCCCCAAAGCCCTCAAAGCATTGAAACCCAAAGCCCCCAAAACCCTGAAGTCTGGAACCACGGGAGAGGCAAAAAAGATCCAAGCCTCCCTGGCGCCGTCTGACATCTCTGAGGGCCGTTGGAGGGGCCCTGCAGCGGCCGCCTCTCACTTTCTCACTCGCCGAGCTTGGGGGCGTTTTGGAGCGTTTTTGTGGTTTTGGCTGCTTCTTGTCGCAATCGGCGTAGCAGGGCGGCACATACATGTGGCACTCACGACTTCTTTTCCAGGGTGGGTGCGGTCTGGGCTGGCCTGGGTGGCAATGTGGGTTCAGGGTTGTACATTTGGACTGCTAAGATTTGGGATTTGGGCTAGGTTTCGGATATGGTTTCACAGGCCGACCCCAACATCGACACAGTTCGGCCTCGGCCACTGGTGCACGCCCTGATTGAAGGCCGCGTCAGATTTGCAGGAATGCCAGTTCTTCTCGCCGACTGGGAAGTAACTGCAGGGAGTATGCCAACAAAATCCAACAAAGCTTGCAACGTTGCCCATGCTAGAGATCGTAGCACTGACGCTGCTGCCGCATGCTTTCAATTGTTTGTTCTTCTGCTGCTACCACGCGCCCTTCATCGAGCGAACTAGAGCCAACACTGTTCGCAAAAGTCTTCGCAACTTCCGCACCTTCTTCCACCAAGACGCTTTTCTGCACTCCTGCCGTCAGCTCTTGAAACCTGAATCTTTCCGATAAACTCTTTGATGCTCCTGCTGTGCGGGTAGGTAGTGAAGTTGTCTTTCATCACTGTCTTGCCCGGCTGCTTCCACCCTGTGGTCAAGCGTTGGAGGACTCCAGTCAGTCAACTTGCAGCGGCGATTGACACTTGACGGGACGGTACCCGGTACCCTGGCCTTGCTTGAAAATCGCCTTCGCGTTCTCTTGTCCTCAACACCAACATCACACCCCTTCAGTGTAGCTGGAGAAGCAACAAGGCTCGAAGCTTGCACGACATCGCAGCTCTTGGGCGCATGCTGGCAGGGTGGGGATCCAAGTACAGCAATTTGCTGCGAAGGAGGATCTCCTGTGCTTGGCATGTTCCAGGGAGCCTGTTTACGCTGCTTCTGGGCAGCCAAATTCAAACTGCACATGAACCGGTACGACAGACGTCACGAGCATTATTGTGAGGGTGTACTTTTCATTCCTGTTGCGCATCGGAAGACAGTTCCCATTCAGAGCTGCTGCGGCCTCGTCCGAGAGACCTCCTCGTCCGCTTGGCACACCTGCACAACGGCTCGTGACAGCACAAACAATGAAGGCCGAACATACAACAGTCTTGATGCTACACGGACAAAAACCGCAGCACGCCTTTGGTGTCAAACGGCAGCAACATAGGCGGAGCCTGCCGATTTGAAAGGCGACAGCCCTGGTTGCTGCGCGCAGCGCGCGAAGCGGTGTGGACCATGCCCCTCTAATCTTGCTCTTGACCTCAACAGCAGACACTAGCCTGGAAAGGGGAAGGCATTACCACAAGCTGCCGGCCCACGAGGGCCAGTCAGACACCACCAGACTGCCTTGCGACCCACACTATTCAAGGTTACAGTACTGGATCTGTGAGTTTGGAAATTCGATGCTGTAATACCCTTTCGGTGTATTTGCGACCTTCGGCTGGCGCTTCCAAAAACTTCAACTTTGAAGTTGTTACTTTACTCAAGCAGTACAGCGGCCGGCTACTGGCAGGCGCAGTTGCCAACCAGGCTTGTCCTCGCATGCCAGCCCGTGTGCCATAAAATTATGGCGCCCAAAGCGAGGGCAGAGGATGTGTGGACTCACTGCGGGCCAGTGTGCTCGGGTCGCGTTCGAGGATCCACTGCCGTCTCGCCGGTGCTCTTCGGCGTCTGTGAGGGCCGGTGACGCTTGCGGAGGCTCCCGGAGATGGTGGAAAGAAGGTGCGCCGTCCATCCATGTGACAATGTGTTTTAGAATCTGGACCTTGCATATGGCAGGAGACACTGGTTTCGATACCCACTGACGAATCCTACGTGCTCGTGGAGAAGAGCTGCAGTGGCCGGCATCGAATATGCTCGCCCAGCAGCTGCTACCACCCACCGCCACATAAGCCGGTCTACACATGCAGCATGAAGCCTCACAATTTGTCAAGCAGGGGCTTGTGTTCACTTTCGGATTGAGGGGTTCAACCCAGGCAATCATCGCACAAATCCAAGAATAAAGACCGGACTCCCCGCGTGCTAGCTGCTAGAGTGGTGCAACATGCGACAATGCATTATAAATGCACAAGCTTGGATATTCTGCATTAGCAACATGTCCGGGAAGGTTTCAACCTGAAGGTATGTCTATAGCAGAACCCTTGGTGGCACATCTCAATCTCCAATATTTTTGGGGCAAGCGAAACCATCGTTTCTGTAGGGGGAACCGCACGTCATACGCACATGTGCGCAGGCGCGGCAATTGATGGGCGGCTTGACCGGCCGATGGCCTGAAACTCACGTCCTCAGCTCTGCACGACCCGCATCGAGAGCACAATGGGCAACACTGGGCCATCCAGCAGTCGGTGTAAGTCATGGAGTAGAAAGGTCGCATCATGGCCGGCGAGTTCTCAATTTCGTAGGCTCCTCTGGCACATTCTCCGCCGACTCGTCTGTCGCACTTGGACACTAGCTGCTGGAGCCGAGCCGCGGTCGCGGCACGTTGTGACTTTGACAAGCTTTTTTCTTTAGTGGCCTGCACGGACCTTTCCCTATGGGACCCGCTGCTTTGGTCGAAAGCTGCTGGGTTGTGTGATCATGACACGCTTTCGGTTATCGATCTTTCGTTGAACGTACGTAGGCTGAAGGCACAGGAGCTGACGATGATGTAGTATCCTGTGATATGCACGCACATGCACACAGGTGAAGGCACAGTTGCACACACCCGAACATGCAAGTGTGAAGATGCGTTCTATGACGCGCGAGTTGCTCACCCTATGCGGCATGGTGACAGAATACACACAGCCTCGCATTCATCTTCATGCTCTGACTCTGAGCAGCCTGCCTTGATGATGGAGCTCGTCTCCAAAGATCCCAAAGGCACTTCGGAGCGATTCCTGGAGCTTTGGCTGAGGCTTTGCTGCGAAGCGATCTGTGGCCAGCCCTCTCCTCTTGTTCCGCTTTGGCGGTGGTGGGGTCGCGACAAGTGACCCCCGATCATCGCAGAAGGAGTTGTAGGTACTCTGCCTCGGCCAGAAGCTTCATTCTCCATGTTTCTCGGGATGCCACGGTTGCTTGGCACTTCCTCCCCGTTGGCTTCTGTGGGGCTTAGGGCAACGGACCCCTTCACAAAGTCTACAAGGCTCGGCACATACGGAGATCCGTGCCCAACCAATGTGAAGCTACCAACCTCGTGCTGTCGTCTTCTCAACTTCTCCTCGGTCGAGCATTGGTAAGCGCGCTGCAGGGGAACTTTTCGGCCAAGAAAAGGCGTCCGTGGATTGGTGAAGTCCATCTTGTCATCGTCGGCCTCCTCATGATCAAGGCTCCATGCACTGGTAAGATAACCGGTGCTTCACTTGCTGAGGTTGTTGATTCTTAGAAGTATTGCCTCTACCATTCTGATTATCATGCCGTTTTGCCTTTGAAAGTGCTTCTGACTCGCATTGTCGGTAGAGACCAATAAAGTTGTACAGTGTCTTGGACCTTCTAAGCACTCCTACTGTCAGCTCGCACCTGCTTGTCTCTTCCTGTCGGTCTCGATTGCTTGAGCTCAGGAGCTGTATCATAAATAGAGAGAGAGGGAGACAGACAAAAAAGACACAGCTCCATTATACATATATATATATACATACATACGTACATACATACATACATACATGTATGATATGCGTGTGTATAAAAGTCTATAGAAAAAAAGAAAGCCTAAAGCATATGCGTGTATATACATACATGTACATGTACATACACATACATCTACACCTACACCTAGACATACACATACGCATACACATAAATATGCAAAGACATACACATGCACATACACATGTGAGTATACATATATATATATATATGCATAGGTGACAACATGTATACACATACTTATGTACATACATATTTGCATACATACATGCATGCATACATACATACATACATACATGCATACAACCTATACAGTATATCATATGCAGTGTGGGTGTATATACATATATATATATAAGTACATACACGCATTGTATTCACACTTTCTCGCCTCCACGCTCTGCACGGACTCGTCGGACCTGGCATGCAAACGTCTTGTCCAGCAGGGAAGTGGCCTTACTTGGCGACTCCTGCGATGCAAAGGATCTGAAATTACGCCCCCATCACATGGTCCTGTGTGAAATTGGAGGGGTCGAGGCATCCCTTGAACGGGTGTACTCTCCTGTCATCTCGTCTAGTGAACTGCTGCTAGCCTCGGCGCTGGCAGTGCAGATGGCTTGCAGACCACGAGGCCTCTCACGAGCATCAGCATATGCTACGGCAAACCGCAGATACAGCGAGCTCTCATCGGCAGACATGCGGGCCTGAACCACCTTTAGCCTGCACCTGCAAGGCTGCGCGGAGGCAGAAATCTTCTCCTCAGTCTTTGCTGTGAAAGTTATCAGGATCCGAAGGGGCTGTCGCTACAGATGTTCGCTGTTCAGGACCAGATGTGCAAATGAAAGACGGAGTGCAGCAAGTAAGGGCCAAGCGGTATGAGGTTTGCGTCAGGTTGCGAAGAAAGCCTGGAAGGACCTGTCGAAAGGCATGGATCTTGGCTATGCTCCGGAGGCCTTGGTCTTCTCCTGTCTTGTTGCTGAAACTATCTCCACTATCCTTGTCATGACTAGTTTTCGACTCATCACGGTCATCATGATAGCACCATGATCGTCATCGAACAAGCATCGCCATTACTCATCACCGAAATGAGCAGCTGCAAGAAGTGTCAGTCCGCGGCAGTGCAGCGGGCAGCAGACAGCCTACACCTTCACTAGATTCTGAGCAAATGCATGAAAGTAGTCTTCGTGCTAAACTATCACCCCTGAGTACTTGCTATCGTCGAGTGCCACTACCAGACCCCAGTCCTATTCTAGGCGGTAAACCAAAAGTAGAAGCAGGAGGACCTGTAGCAGCAGCAGCAGCAGCAGCAATAGCAGTTGTAATGGCGGCATTCGTCGTAGTGTAGTAGCAGTAGTAGCAGTAGTAGCAGTAGTAGCAGTAGTAGCAGTAGTAGCAGTAGTAGTGGTAGTCGTAGACGTAGACGTAGACGTAGACGTAGACGTAGACGTAGTCGTAGTCGTAGTCGTAGTCGTAGTCGTAGTCGTAGTCGTAGTCGTAGTCGTAGCGGTAGTGGTAGTGGTAGTGGTAGTGGTAGTGGTAGTGGTAGTGGTAGTGGTAGTGGTAGTGGTAGTGGTAGTGGTAGTGGTAGTGGTAGTGGTGGCGGTGGTGGTGGTGGTGGTAGTAGTACCTGTAAGTAGTGGCAGGGACAGTAGCAGTAATACATTGCTACTGTCTTGCTGGCCTGCGGAGAGTCGGCCATTTGCCTGGGCGGCTCCTCGAAATTTCTGTTGCACGTCGCGGAACTTTGCCGCAGATGGCTTCCAGTAAAGTTTAGAGCTTCGGGTATAGGGCAATGGGGCTTTAGCTGTAGAAGTAGAAGTAATATTGTGGTGGTGGTAGTAGTATTAGTAGTAGCAGCAGCCATAGAAGCAGTTGTTGTTTCTTGGTCCCGTAGCGGCGCATACAAACCTTCGAAATTCTTATAGACTGTCATAGTCTGTCACTGAATTAACCTGTGCCCGCTCGTGGCTTAAGGCTTAGGGATCACTTAGCCTAGTCATGTTCTCGTCGTCTGCGACGACCAGTTGAGCTCAAAGCTGCAGGTTGGCCACGGGTGCGTCAAAGCTGCATGTGATTCCGGTGATTCCACTGGCACATTCGGAGCCGAGGCAAAGGCAGCTGCGCGATATTCGTGCGCCCGCACAGCTTCGTCCTGGCTTTGAAATCAACATGCGTAGAGAAAAACACGACAGATGGAGCTCAGCATTGTGCACATGCCAAAGGCCATGCTACCACAAGTAAGCGACGTAGGTGGAAGCGGGTCTATGGCTTGCTTACCGGGAATCACGCCAACGCGACCTTCTGTTCAAAGAGCCCCGAAACGAGGCTTGCCATGATTGTGGTACAGTGGCCATGACCAAAACAAAACAGCCTACTGCTATCGCTGCTACTACGACTTCTACTGCTACTGCTGCTATTACTGCCACCACTACCGCTACTACCACTACAACAACTACGACTACTACTACTACTACTACTACTACTACTACTACTACTACTACTACTACTACTACTACTACTACTACTACTACTACTACTACTGGTACTACCATTACTGTTACTGTTACTGCGACTACGACTACTGCGACTACGACTACTGTTGCTGCCATCAAACCACCTACTACTACTACTACTACCACCACCTCCTACGACTGCTACTACTAACCGTGTGACTATTGGTGACTACTGCATCGTGTTACTATCTTGTAGTACTAGCTTTAGGGTACAATCTTTCATCACCGGCCTTGGGCGGAGGCTCTACCTCTGTGGTGGAGCCGAACTCGTTGGGACTCTGCTGACCGCGCTCTTCCTCAGTACAGGCCGCGGCTTTATAGCTCCCTCATAGTACCCTTCAAACTACGTACATCGCATCCCCTCCATAGAACCCCCCTTCCAGCGCTCGTTTACTAGCCCTTGTAGTAGCCCTAATAGTAATCGCAACAGCACCCCCAACACCCCTTCTATAGCAATCTCCCTAACCCCTACACCCTGAACCCGAAACCCCCGTCCCTCTTGTAATACATCACACAGGGAGGACTGCGAGGAGCCGTAAGCCCGGAGCCGCCACCGACAGTGGGTTAGGTCCCAGCTCCTCCTGCGCTTTGCGGCTAGCGACAATTTCTCATAATTCGATTCGGGTCTCGGGTGGTCTCATAGTCTCGTCTCGATACATAGTGTGGTTTGTTCGTATAGGTATACACGGACTACAAGTACTACTTGTTATCTGGCATCCATGTTAGCTCAAAGCAGGCTGCAGGTCCTTGCTCGGCGGCCGGTACGTCAGGCTGGCCAGCTCTGGCCCTGCCAAGACCTAGCGAAGATCAGAGCATTAGGAGGTATTGTGGCTTTATAAATTAGTACATGTTATATTGCAGTATAGTACTTGTCGTATATCATACTACGAGTTATAGTATATTATCGTACATACAGCATAATCAAAGCACGACTGTAACGAAAATGATAGTACAATCTTCTTATGTGCGGCGGCGAAAATGGGGCACGAGTGTGCCGTATGCGATATCAGCACTGAGGACTCTCATGGCCACTGCTCCTACAGACCAGGTACTTCAAGGAGTTGCCAGAGCTTTTGATGCGAACGTAAAACTCAGACATCAACCCAGCGTGAAACAAACACGTCTGCAGGTGCCCGGATCGCAGCATGCAATTCTCCTGGCGCCGGAACTGCAAAATCCCCCTGTCCGGTCAAACGGCCTTGATCACATCGGCTCCAACCTGTAGTTGAAGCATGCCAAGCAGTTTCTTTGTTGCATTACACGTTTACGCGCGCTCAAAGCGACGAGCATCGGTTTCAACTGATTGGGGACCGACATGCAGGCGCAGAAATCACGGCATGTGCTCTAGACTCTGACTCTACTGGGCTCCATCAGGATGGGTGGTCTGGACTCGCTGACCGAGAGCAGTCTCTTGAATCGGAAGGTGTCTTATCAGGTTCCTGTCGTAGTCCCCACTTCCGGTCGGTCGCGACAGCCCTAAAAACCGGCAGCCAAAACAACTCACATGCACTCAGCGCAGCACCCATATCGCGGAGGGCGCTTTGCCAGCAGTGCGTACCTGGAGAAACAAATGTGCTAAACCTGCACTCGTCCTCACCCGAGCCCACCCCCAAAACCCAAAAGCCCTTCAACCCAAAAACCCCTACTCCCTCCCAAACCCCTAAATTCCTTCCAAAAACCGACAAAAAAACAAAACCGAGCCCCCACGCGACCTCGCGCTCCGCCGTGGCGCGTTGACCTCCGGGGCCTGGGCAAATGGCGCGGCGGGGCCCCAAAACGGCCAGGCCAGAGGGCTTAGGCTTTGGAGCTTCTAGGGTGAAATGTGGAGGGTTTAGAGTTTAGGGTTTTCATGGGAACAGCAAGAAAAAAAACAGCAATGACATCCTAAAAGTTATAGGAAGAGTCAGGACAGAAATGAAAAGAACTTAAAACATGTCATGATCCCCAGCAGCAATGACAAGACTAGCAATAATGATGACAGCCATGATGTGTCACTGTACCTCAGCATCTTCGAATCTTCTTGCATGTGGCAATGTAACATAGATGTGCTGCCGGAAGACAGCAGAAACAGGTAACTTGTGCGCCATGTGTGACGTGGAATCCAAGATGTGCTTCACAAATCTCACGGTGCTTGCGTGTGCCTTCCATGAGGACTCGGAGAGGGTGCAATACCTAGTCGACCTACTCTCCCCGGCAAGCACGTTAGCACTGATCTGGACTTGGGACTGGCCCTGATATGAGACACCGGGATCCGTTTCCCAGTCGATATCATCGAGCTCAACTTTCCAACGAGTATCATCTTCAAGACCAGTGCTGGTGCCGACGTTCACACAGCTCAAGGTCCACATCTGCGCCCATCAGACCTATCAGCTTTCTTATGAGGAGAGTCCTCACAAGCTTCAGATGCTGTTGATGCATCATGCTGCGCAGACTTTTCGACTTTGAACGTTGGCAGCAATCTGTGAGCATGGCAGGGATTCTCAACAGCGACACGTTGCGACATGGAGACCTCGTGCACAATCGAGGTCTTGTTCACACATTGGCCGGGTCAGACCTATCAGCTTTCCAATCGAACGTAACATATCCAAGATCTTGTCATTCTTCGTTCTGTCATCACTGCGGCAGTTCAACGTGACAGCCACCAAACAAACACCGCGACACGAGCTTTGGTGTGACCAACGACGACGGATGGCGGCTGCAAGAACACAGGCAATCAGACCTATCAGCTTTCCAATCGAGGCTCTCCATTAAACTGTCAGTCTCGTTCCGTCATCATTGCCAAAAGTGAATCTTGCTTCGCAGACACGATGCATGTGCCCTCACTTCATCGTCAACATATCCGTGCCTCAGACCTATCAGCTTTCCAATCGAGGTTCTCCATAAGAAGGTCAGAACTCCTTGTGTCATCATGACGGCAGATCGACGCGGAAGTCCGCACTCACACAGTGTCTTGCCCGCAGGCTTTGGCGTCATGGCCGAAGAGCTCAGGCATGTCCCGGAAGGACAAACCACCCAACACTGCCAGCTGGTCTTCTTCTCATTCATCCTGAAAGCAGCCCCCTCCTGTCACGCTGACCTGCGACGCCTGAGTCCAGCACGCGAATCCCCGGAGTCCCTGAAACATCGGAAGTCTCTCCCAGACCTCACGCGCTTCACCCGCAAGACCTGCTGGGATCGCTGCTGGAACGAGGCCTGGCTTGGCAGGCCCGACGGGATGTCCGTTTCGGGTTTCGGAAGTTGGGACGCGCCGAGTTTGGGCTTTGGAGCGCAAGGTCTGGACTTTCCGGCTTCAGAAGTCGCGCAGGTGTCGCGGCTATCTTCGAATTCAGAAAGACGCTTTCACGCGTGCGTTAATCAAGAGATTTGGGCCTATGTCAATGTCAAGAACCGAGAAATCACTCCTCAGTGCGAGGTCATAAAGGGGGAGTGCGTCCGCAGGCCTCGGCCTCATCAGAGGCCCGTCATCCTGGCATCCCCATGCCCGCCATACCCTTCCTTGTGAGCCACAGCAAGCCACGAATTGTCTGCGAGGATTCTCGGGGACATCTTCAGGAAAACGCTCTGCTGCAATTGCAAGCTCCACACGTCATTTTGTTCGGACCTCCGCGAGCTCCGAAGCTCTGCCAGCGGCCGCCTTGCCTCGTTCGCGAATCGCGCATGGAAGAGGCCGGCACCTGTGCCTGTGTAGCAGAAACACCCCCAAAGCTCATGGATCCCAAACCGACACTAAGTTAGAGAAAGTTAGAGCACTTCCACATCCCCTAAACAAAACCGCGAACTCATCCAGACCATGTAAACCTTGTTTTAACCCAAAACAATGAAATGAGGGGGCGATCCTGCCTGGCCCTCGGCATGCGGAGTCCACGAAGGACTTGACCTCCCAGGGGCTGATGCCGAAGGCTTCCCGAAACGCCACTGCACCTGGCACGAGATTGTAACACATGGCACCATTCTGAGCAGTTCTGACGGTGCTAGCATTCGTAATCACAGAAACCATCATCTTCATCGTGGCAGTGGTCGTATTGATCATTGTTAGAAGAGTAACTAGAGCGAAAAAGCAACCCTGCATTGTAAAGACAGACCCTGAAGTAGCAACAACCTTCTTGACCTTCGTACTGCACCCCAACATGTGCCTCTCGGCAAACTCATGATACACTTGTCTATGTTCGGTCTGGAGTTTCGCGATTCGAACTCGAACTCACGAATTGAAATCCTGGGCGGCTTCTCACGACATTGTATGACAGTACAGCTGTCTAGCTCTATGTATGTGTACGTGTATCTGGTGAGTCATTTTAACGGCTATATATCTATAAATCCTATATTTACGTGAAAACCCTTGTTGATTCTGAGCGAGAGTGTGTGTGTGTGTGTACATATATAGACATACATGTATACCGATGTCATTTGTGTGGCATATAAGAATGTACCTACACATTTCAGAATGCTGTGCCAGGCCAGGCAACGACAAAAGATGCAAATGGCCCTAGCCATCACTGAAGAACGAGGTCTGGCTTTGCAGAGAGAGGTCCGTCACTGATTCTATCGATAGTTCGACGGCATTGCTTCAAAGTATTACAAGTGGTACGTGCACGAAGAACCCTGGCTTTTTAACGGCTATTGCAATCTTTAGTTCGTTGTTCAGCCTGCAGCTCAGCAAAAGGCCGGAGCCTCTCCGCCGTCGCCAGCGCGGCCACGGCCGCGTTCGGAAGCTGAGGAAAGGAAGTGCCTCCATGAGCTTGGCTGACACGAACAGCATTGGTAAGCATCTCGCCAGGGTTGTTTGTCATAAGTACAAAGATGCCAGAATTCGGTGAAGAACGCCACAGCTTAAGCAAATGAACGCGGGGTGCAGGACTGGAGGTGCAGTCCTGAAGAAGCTGCGAAATCAGCGGAGCGCGGAGTGCGTGGGGGTGGGGGGGGGTGCAGTCCTAGCATGAGGGGCCCCGGCACCTTGCGCAGCTGCAGGTAGAAGAACTCGCATCTGTCTTCGAGGTCTTCGGACGAGGGCTTCCTTCGCAAAGGCAGTTCAGTAACTCCCGAGCCCGATACCGTCTCTTGCCTACCTACAGATTAGGAGCGAAACCCACAAGTTACAACCGTTCCCGTTTCAGAAAGCCATAGTCGAAGAAAGAATTCAGGGCACTCCGGCTGCGGAAAATGCATCTCAAGAGTTATGACACGCACAACACAAGAAACTAAGAGGAAGGGACTCTGCCCTTCAAGGCAACATGCTGAAGAACCAGCTTACGTTGTAGGCTCGGTTTCGATTAGGACTTAGATTTAAAGTGGGTTCAGGGTTTAGGGTTTAGGAGGCCTTGGCAGCCTGGCTGGACTCATGGCAGCCTAGTGCTGACTCGCCCCCTTAGGAATCCCAGAGCCCTGGCAGCGGTGACAGAGACTTTGCTGTTCTTTGCAACCAGGCAACTTTGCTGGCAGTTCCCCATCTACTGCCAGCATTGGCACTGCCAGAAGTACCAAGCCACTCCAACAAGGAGGCAAGAGCTCCATTTCGCCAAGTCCTCAAAAAAATGGAGAGAAGAGCACAGCAGCGAAAAAGATGTGAGAGCCGGGCCTGATTGCCAAGGACGGCCTGCAGCCATCTGACGAAGCTGCCCCTTACGACAGGTACTACTACCGCTTCCCTCTCGGGTTCCGATCTTTGCATTCATCGACACACGGCATTCTGAAATGTAGGCAGGTGGCCCACAGCTCCTCTCGCACTGGCACATCAATCTCAGGGCACCCCCAGCACTCCAAGCGCTGATACCAAAGGTGAAAGAACTGCTTCCACGCTGGATCAGTGTAGCCTGAGACTCTGGGACGCACAGGGCAAGGCGACCATCTCAACTTGCCTGCAGTCCAATCTGGAATCTACACGACAAGCAAGTGCTGCAGCTGAACGATGCCGCGCGGCAAGCTCTGGGGTAGACCCGTGCGGAGACCCAGTGGAAGTCGTCCAGTGGGGCAATCATCTCGCGGAAAAAGATGATGCCATGACCGGAAAAAATGCGCGCATGCTGGGCCACCCTTAGCAGTTCATCAGGACTCTCTAGAACCCGGAATCACAGCAGCCGGTGTACAAGACCTGTGTCAAGGCGCTGGCAACTTTGTCTCCAAGCCGAAGTCCCCACCGTAGATGAGGGCCACGCGCTGGCAGCAAGGCGACATCTCGGAAGACTCTAATGACTCTATCAGACTCATGACTCTAACTACAGCTCCGCCTTGCATTCACATGGCATGATTCTGCTTCAAGGGAATCCGAATCCCCCTCCTCATCTCAGGGCACCTCGTAAGGGTAGCCGGCAGCTTGCACCTCGTTGAAGAAAGGCAGAGGATCGCAGGCCTGGTTGGGGCCAACCTCCCAGGGCAGACCGGCACTGCAGTGCGGTGCCTAAGCACACATCATTCCATCGCAGTCAGTAGATGTTTTGTGCCAAACCTCGGGCAACAAATCTCTACAGTGGGCCTAGTCACAATCAATCAAACCTGAACTCCTGTCGTTAGGTTCTGACAGGCTTGCAATCTGTCTCAAATCTAGATGTTGTCGCGAAGCGGTGAAGCTTCGGCTTTCCCACTGCAGCTTCAGGCCTTCCCGTAGATGATGCCATCGAATTCGCGACCTGGTGAATCAGCATTGTTGTGGCTATCATTATCTGTTACTGTTCTGGTTCGATGATGTTGCTACGGGCACTTGCTGTCACAGTCTTGCTTCAGGGATTGCTGTTGGGAATGGCTGAGTCGCGAACGGAACAGGCTCCGCCTGACTGAGTCCCGCTCTGCACGGACGGCGAGCGCCTGCGAGACCAGGGGACATTTGCAAGGGAGCTAAGCATGGTTAAATCAACAGCAGTAGTGACAAACGTCATCGTCAAAACAACCAGAAATAAACAAATCACACTACTAGCAAATTTAAGAACACACTTACTATCCGAAGCCGCTAGTCTAAAAGATCCACAGCCGGCCTCGGGAAGCACCCTTCGGGCGTAGGAGAACCCAAAGCCATACATCCTGCTCGCGGCAGGGAGGGGGGTGAGGGGGGGAGGGGTGGGATTATACAGAATTACCTTATATTATGTTTCAGTCTCCTATATTATGTCATAATACTCTGTGTTATACAATACTGACTTCCGTGAGAAGAAGAACCAGTCTGCTGAGCACCGACAGACGCTGTACCTATTTGTATATGTATGCATGCATGTATATATATATATATATATATATATATGATATATGTATGTACCTCTGCAACATTTGTATAAAACAACCTGCTTATGCAAATAAATGCCATGGCATTGCTGCTGCTGCCGCTGCTGCTGCCGTCGATATTCTTGCTAACTTACTGATGCTGATTCTCCGATAGATGTTGATTCTAACGCGCATGCTCATCCGGACGACAAAGACAACGAAAGGTAATGGTGATTGACATGACGACGACTGTTGCGGCATCCGAGACGTTTCCAGCATGCAACTGCTCTCATCATACCAGCACCAGCATCTGCGAGTTATCATCCTTCTCATAGTTCTCGCCCTCGTTTGTGTCCTTGTCATCCTCTTGTTAAGTGCTGCTGCTCCTGATGTTCAACATCCCCCAACCCCTCAACCCTTAGCCCTAAACTCATCATCGTCATCATCCCGATCGTGCCCGGAGCAAAAGCTCAGGCTTGCCTCAAGCGCAGTGTTTCCTCCTCCTTCCGGGCGATGCGGTCGTCAGCAAGGTACCAAAAGCTCGACCTTTGATTTGCACATAGATGCGTAGGCGTGTGTGTGTGTGTGAACTCCTCTCGTACATGAGGTAAGGGGCTCACAACCCCACAACTCTTTGCAACACAGCATGGTGAACGAGATCTTTGGGGGAGTGCGGCATGGCTGTGGGACCGCACTCAACGAAGCTACCACAGTCATGCGATACCGAGTCTGATCAATACCTGCAAAACTTTTGGCAACCCCCTGTGGTGCCGAGATTAGTTCTGAGGACAAGCCCCCTGAGGTGTCCAGATTAGAGCTATTTTGCACGTTTGTCACACGCTGTAGTGGGCTTGCTTGTGAAAGTGCAGCTAGAGTATGTACTTTAAGTGCATCTGTCCGCGAGCACTTTCCAAGTGTGATACAACGGCTTTCCATCACGGCGCCGTGGTGGTCTCATTTTCAAGCAGTTCTCGTGCATGGATGCGTTCTTTCTCCTTCAGTGGAGATGCCGACTCTCTCGCTCGCTCGCTCGAGGGAAAGGTCCGAAGACCCGGCCCCCCACTTCCCTTCCTTGTTGGTGGAAGAGGGCTTTGGGGTCGAGTGCATGGGGCTGCTCCCCACGGTTTGTACGTGTGGTAGAGAGCGTCTTGCAATCACCCCCGAACCCTGAACTTTAGCCCGCATCCCGGCCTCGTCCCCGCGCCCTGTATGGCTACTTCCTTAGTGCCTCGCCAGACGCTTCCCCCCATGTGTGCTCTACGTTTTGTGGCAGATTCCCCTTTTTTGCACTACAAACCAACAGCTGAGGACTGAGCAATGCAGGACCATATTGCCAAGACGCTACCATATTAAGTTCTGGTGGGGGCTGCCTGAGCGAGGGGGTCACCAGTGGCCAGTACAGGCAAAAGTTCAAGGTTGCTGGTCCCCCTCGCGTGTTCCTTTATGAAGGTAAAAGCCGGTCGAATTTTTTTCTAACCTGTAACAGTGGGAGATGGCTGCCGACTTTTTCTCTCTCGACGACGCCCGTTCAACATGTATTCATGAGGACCCGATGAGGCCCGAGGCACCGTTCAGTTCGGTTCAAGGCCCTCTTGTCCAGGTCCGGACGAGACATGAGTGTCTGTGTGCGCGCAGGACGGCATGTGCATCCGTTAGGTCTGCTCCGCTGGCTATTTCATGACTTACTTTTACTCTTCCCTATTCCGCCTTCGTGCAGGTTCGCATGTGTACTGACATGAGATCTAATTGCTTTGGGGCAAAGTGGCTGCAAGGGGGGCCAATGGTCCAAACCGTGTTCGCATGTTGGCCGGACACTAGCTGTAACGCAGCTGTGTGAGTCTAGCGATGATGTACAGAAAAGCAGGTTACAAGTCACAATGGATCCGCGCCTGCCTAAAAGATTGCAGCTGCACTCCTTGGATTCCGCGCCTGCCTAAAAGATTGCAGCTGCACTCCTTGGATGCATTCCAAACGCACTTTTGCAATTGTGTGCATGTGTATCACTGCAGTCTACCGCAGGTTCGTTTCTCTTAGCTTGCAGTTGCTGCCTTCCAAGCACATTGTCCGTCTGCCGCAGCCTTTTTCTGTTCTCTTTGCACGCAACATGCCCAGGACACAACGCTCACGACCCCCGCCGGGATCTGAATGGCAGTGGCAGTAGTGGTGCAACTTCAACGTGCATTATTGGTCTACACGCGCCCCGGTTTCGGGGCAGCGTGTGTGTGAACTCCTCTCGTACATGAGGTAAGGGGCTCACAACCCCACAACTTTTTGCAACACAGCATGGTGAGCGAGTTCTTTGGCAGGGGAGTGCGGCATGGCTGTGGGACCGCACTCAACGAAGCTACCACAGTCATGCGATACCGAGTCTGATCAACTCGGCGTACCTGCAAAACTTTTGGCACATATAAATACCCATACACATACACGTACACAATACATATACAAATACAAATACAAAAACAAATACAAATAAAATCCATATACATATACATATACATATGTACATACATGCATGCATACAGGCATAGATCTTGACATGGAAGAGCTGGGTTCAGAGTTGCGTTTCGGGCCCATCTTGGCTTGACACGCTTTATAGCCGTCAGAGGGATCTTAGCCGTGTCACGACGAGTCACATCGGGCCAGTAAACTGTGAAGTCTCAACCGATACACGGCTGAGATCGCACGTTCCAGTTTTCATCAGGTGGTCGCCAACATCCAGCCGTGCTCGCGGAACAATAATCCCAAGCGCGGAAGGACGGAAGAAAATGAGCAGACATGAGATACCCGGGCCGAGATCCGCTCGTGCGATCCAAAACCAAGAACTGCTGCAAGAGCTGTGACCAAGGCAATTGCAAATGCAGTGTGCACATGTCACCAGACATGACCTCGCAGCCGCAGTGAGGACATCGTTCAGGTGGTCGATGGCTTGGCCCCACCCAGCTCTGAACATAAGCAGCTGAATGCCATTTTCCCATCAACTGCATCGTGTTGTTTTGTGCTCTTGATTTTCTGCTCATGGACGAGTCCCTGCAGCGGCGGTTTGGCGACAGAAACAGGCCCAGAAGCCTACATACAAGCTACAATTTGCTGCTTCGGGGGCTGCGTGTTCCAAGGGCCCCCCAGACAACGCGACGCGCAATCGCAGCGCTGTGCTTGCTTGTGTACGCTCTTCGTCTTCTGCAAGAGCCAGGGTACGGGAACATGCAATCGCTGACGGACAGAAACAGGAAGCACCAATGATCAGATCAAAATGTAGTGACGCATGTCGCCAGTGGCCAGGATATGGAACGGAACTAGTCAGAGACTCTCAGCTCCCTTGATCCAATTCTACAGCAGAGGCGCCGCGGTTCGGCATCGCCGGGCCAAAAGTTTGGATTCACCTCCATGGCCTTTTCAAGGCGCAAGGCATGTAAAGGTAGGCTTAGGAATGGGGCCTTTGTTTAGGATTGAATCGGTGCTTCACAGCTTCGGCCACGACAAGCACGAGTATGATGCCTCCTGCTGAATTCCTACCACGAGAATCAATGCTGCCATCACTACCAGCACCACGCCGGACGACGACCATGAGAACGATGACGACAGTGACGACGGCGACGAGGAGACTGTCTGCAGCTGCTACCTCTGTTGCGGCATGTGTTCTACTACTACTACTACTACTACTGCTACTACTACTACTACCACTACGACTACTACGACTACTACTACTACCACTACTACTACTACTACTACTACTACGACTACTGCTGCCGCCACTACTACTACTACTACTACTACTACTACTACCACCACTACCTACTACGTGCTGCGGCTACTGCTTACCATGGCTGCACTGCCGCTGCTACTTCAAATGCCGCTGCAAATGCTGCACCTACTCCACCTACTGTGGATTCTGATTTGAGCATTGCTTGTGCGGTCCAGCCGCAGGCGCATCGACAATGCGAGAGCCTGCACAGAGCAAATTGAGGAATTCCACAGGTCACGACTGGAGTAGCAGAGGCCTGGAACGCTCTTCAGCAAGCTTTGCAGGCCCAGAAAGATGCCTCGCCAGCGATTTGACTGCGACGTGGCTAAGCACCTAGTCAATGGATCTTCGCACGAGAGAAGCGTGCCAGGAAGGCCAATGCTGACGGGACCCTGCCATCCGTCGCCTTGAGAGAAAGTGGGGATTTGGTCATCCACACAAGGTGCCCCCGCAAGAGTTGCGCTATCAGGACTTCAAGCCTGCTCCAGTAAATCCAAAGCCGCAGGTGACATACCTGCCAATGCGCAGGGCCTCTTACTTATAGGTTCATGGGTAGTTATAGGTGGGGTTATAAGTAGGGTAACTATAATTATGAGCCATATTCGGGGACTTATATCCCTACCTATAAGAACCCATGACCCATGAACCCTCACGTAGTCTGACCGGGCAGACATCAAGCAAAAGCATGCCAAAGGGACAGCAGCCGAAGAGGTCGCTGAGTCGGCCACAACCCAATGCTCCGCAAGACCTTGATTGCTGCTGCTAAACCGAAACACTCTAAAGCCCTAAAGCCTAAAGTCAAACCCTAAACTTAACCCCTAAACCCTGGACCCGTAAACCCTGAAACCTCTTTCATTGGGAAGCTGGCACGCGCTGCCATCGACTCGACAGACAAGCACCTCTGCTCGCAGAGTCAGTCGGGCTATCTTCGGGTGCTACAGTTTGAGGCACTATCAGCAGTGGTGGTAGTAGTAGTGGTAGTAGTAGTAGTAGTAGCAGTCGTAGTAGTAGTGGTAGTAGTAGTACTAGTAGTGGTAGTAGTAGTAGTAGTAGTAGTAGTAGTAGTAGTAGTAGCAGTCGTAGTAGTAGTGGTAGTAGTAGTAGTAGTAGTAGTAGTAGCAGTCGTAGTAGTAGTGGTAGTAGTAGTAGTAGTAGCAGCTACTTTGGAAAGCTCACCGAATAAATCCCGCTTTGGAGCCCCGAAGCCCGAAGTCCCTGAAGCCCGGACATTCAGCACTGGAGCCACAGGAGAACAAAGGAGCCGAAGCATGGTCCCAGAATGCTGGCCTGCGCACCCTTGTCCTTTTAGAAATAATAGACAGAGCCCTATATCTATATCCCTTAGTAGGAATTGTTTAAGAAGGTCTACTAGCCGGTCTGTTTATTCTCTTGGGGGAACCATGAAAAAGGACAGGCCGGGCCTGCGTGTATGGTCCAGGAGCCTCTCCACCGTTGCCTCGGCTGCCCGTTGCAGCCAGAGGATGCTCGTGGCATCGAGTAGATTTAACACTCCGATGTGTGATGTGGCAAGGCCGTCGCATTGTAGACGGCCTCCAAGCGCCAAGAGAAAGGTAGGAGCCTACCAGGGCAAAAACGTGTAAAGAGTTTGCGGAAGTCACAGACTTGCCGGCTGTGATCCAGGGTCCGCACTGACGCTTTGTCTTTAGCAGCAAGGACTTGGGCACGAATGGCACCGCTAGTGGAGGTGCCTGCTCAGCGCTGCAACGAAGCACACGGAGTCCGTACGCCTGCTGATTGCCTGTGCCAGGCCAGTGAAGTTTGGTACCTGAAGTAGCTGAATCGAAAACGAGAGACATCGGCCACCATCATCCAGCAGCACAGCTTTACCGGCTATACCACTTTGCGAGCCCCGGGCTGTGCCCACAGCAAGGATCTCAGCATGCCTCGTGGCCTTGCAAATGCGTGGCGTGTGCGATGGATGGATTTCAGGCGGGTCTACGGCTCCATCAGGTCAGCGACTTCACACGGACTGACGCACCGAGTGCGCCATCTCGCGAGCACCCGACATCCCAGCCACCTTTCTTCTTCGTGTGAGCAAACCGATGGCGACGATAGAATTCGTGATACCTGCTGGGCCAGGACAGCACAAACGACGTGAGCATGCACAAAAGTCTCCTGCCTTCTTTCATCCATGGGGCCGAACTTGTATTCCTTGACCTCAAGGCAACAATCTAGAGCTCGGAACATTTCGGAAGCTGTTGAGGCTTTGGCTTCCCCACCAGCTCTGCTTCCAACGAACCCGGCGGTCAGTCGGGTCTGCCGTCGCGAAACGCTCGGAAAGACTCTTCTCTTCACCCGCTGGCCCAGTACAGGAGGAAGCGCCTTTCTCGGAACGGACTTCGCTATCATGTCCGATGGCACCTCGGAACCGCACGAGTCTAGAAGTGGGCTGTTTCTTACGACGACAGGATGGACAATGAGCTTGGTGCTGCTATGCCGATTGGAAAGATAGGCGTGTCCTGGCACAATGACAGAAGTGCAGCTTTACGCATCTTCTGGCCTCCGACCCTAACAAGAGGGACAACATCGTTGGCACAATCCGCAGTATATCAAAAAGTGTGATTTATAGAATTCCAATAGAGTATTATAAAGTATTATATAGGATTGTATGGTGTCACATAGTATTATATAGTATTGTATGGTATTACATCATATTATATAGTCTTCTATGATACAGAAAAGTAATATCGCATCGGTCCTTCTTGTAGATGAGGATCTGGCCCGGCCTCTGAGGAGGTTGCAAGTGGTGCAGGCTCGATCGTTTTGGGGGGGTCGAAAACGAAACTAGATCTGGTTTAGGCACTTTTAGGGCTTAGGACATGGGGGTCTCGGGTTTCGGGAATAGGGTTTAGGATGCATGCTTAAGAACATGGGTGACAGGGACAAACTTCGCCCAGACGACGCTCGAAGTTGACGGCCTACCCGCCTTTGGAAGTGAACGCATCTGGAGCTGTCATCGCTACCAAACCTTCACAAGACTTCCAAGGCGTGAACCCGTGTTCCACATGCTGAGAACGGCATCGACTTTTCTTGGGCTTCAGCAGAGGCGAAGTACTTGCACCACCGACTGCCTGAAGGAGGGCGGAGGTTCTGCAAGCCTCTGTTTCAGGCATGCAGCCGCTGCTTGCCTTTGCGCATCCATCTGCCACCAGCAGCACTGCTGCTCGCATTATATTCCAGCCATGGCGAATTTCACGACAAATGGTGGAACCCTTTGACCAGGCTCTGGCTCTGGAAACTGGTAATCTTCCACTGGCTGCGGGTGTCGTCTGCATCTTGCCAACAGGACTCGAGGTGTGGATTGTCCCTGCCTGGGTCCGGCAACGGGTTCTTTGCAGCCGTATCAGAAGTTCCCCGTGAGCAGAGCTTGCATGCACTCTTGCGCAAAATCTTGCGCACACAGCCGAAGGACCTGAACACATCGACCTTTTATCCTCTCTTCCAGCAAGACGCGGGCTGTGCAAGCAAGCCAAACAGAGGGCAAGCTTTGCTTGGACTGTGTCCGACTTATCCCTGACAGCTTCAAGCCGGAATGCTTGGCAAAGCACACTGCGATGGCTGGAGCTGGGTGCAAAAGTCATGCAGGCGGTTGCAGACGCGTCGAAAACAGAAGTTGCGTTGCCAATGTGGCTTTGATCAGGGATTCCAGCTGCTAGGCATCTTTACAATCAGGGCAGATGCTGCTTGTGTTGGTGCACAAAAGCAAGCTCATGACAAACGCATCGCTTGCTGGAAGAGATAACCATGCACTCCCTAAAGGTTTCTGACGTTGCAGAAGTCGGAAGGCTCTGTAGCCATGTCATTCGGAGGCCCTTTACCCGGCCCAGCATGACAAAGAGCGAGGGGCCAGCGGCCCTCGAGTTAAACGTGGCGAGCATTGAGTTGATCAGCTCGAGCCACTGTGAATTTGGAACCAGGCCGCCAGGCCGACAGGCCGCCAGAAGTTTCTGATGCACCATGTCATCCTATCACAGTCTCAGAAAGCTGAGAACGGCGGACGGGCCTGGTGCCTCCAGCATCCCACCATCCCACCCTGAAAAACAGGCTTGCGGTGTGCTCTGGGCTTCTGTGAAATCTAAAGCCATGCCCGTCTCCTGCGGGTACACTCAAAAATGCGAGACTCGAGTGGCGCTTGCACCCAGTCGTACTGCAAAGAGCAGTAGCACTGCAGTAGGCTTTACTACAAAAGATCTGTACAAAGCGGAAACATGAAAAGACTCAGCTGCGTGGAACTCAGGCAGGGGCCCGATGAAAATCGTTCGGCGCGGCGCGAGACCTCCAAGGTTGCCGCATGGAAGGGCGATGCTATGTGTGGGAAACGACCATGCTTTCAGCTAAGCAAATTCCGAATACTTCAAGTCTAGATATTCTGGGAACCTTGGCAGCTTCTGCATCTTCCGCCGCTCATTTTACACCTACTGCTGTTGCTACTGCTTTCGCACCGTGGGACCGGAAGGACGAAATCAGGAGCAAGGTCGAAAGAAAACGAACCGTACTGCAGTTTCGGCTGGCGGTGCGGTGTAGCCACGGTATGCACCAAAGGATTACTCTTCCGGGCTCGAAACAGGAGGGGAATTATCAAAGGAGCTTTTGCATTGGCAGGACTCCAGCAGTGTCCGGCAGATGCGAGCAAGTCTGCAACTCATGTAAACGAAATACAATAGTCGAAGATGTTGCTGTCCCATTGGCTGCTCTCCAGGAAGCATAAACAGTTACAGATTGAAATTTCACACGCTTGCCTGATCTTGCCTGAAACAGTTCCACAGCTGCTTTTATTGGGTTCAAGCTGTAGGTGTGCCTCCGATATCGCGTTCTGGCTGGAGCATGGTTTGCTCTCAGTACGCCAACGAGGGTACTATAAGAGTTACTACAAGGGGCATTACGAAGGGTGCTCTGCAGGTGCGCGAGGCATTCGAGTTTAAATTCACCGTCCGGCAGTAGCCATCGCAACAGCATCAAATCTTTCCGTGAGAGACTGGACCGGGAAAGCACATCGTCCAAGCGTAAATGCCGCCGCAGCTGTCGCTGCCAAATCTTGCCCCGAAGCAAAAAGCGGGCTAATCGGCTGGTCATGACAGTACATCGAATCGTGATGTCGCATTCCTGCTGCTGAATGGTCTGATTTGCACATTCACAGACCCAGCCTCTGTGCATCTGAACGAAACGATGAACCACCCTGGAGAAACGACAGTCAACTAGCACCCATGCTGCAGCAGTTCGTGTCGCTGTAAAAGAGGCCAGTGCGGCCAAGCTGCCGTTGTTGAGACTCAGAGAGCCTGCGTGGGAACTGCCTCACATGTCGGCAAGTTGAGAAACTTCATTCTGAACAGCAAGCCTCTCTGATTCCGGTCCGTTTGCTGCTGCAGTCACGTGCTAGATGAATCTTACAACGTAGGGGAGGCCAGTTTGAATTCGCGGCTACAACAAGCCCAGGTGAACAACAGCAGGCTAGACACGGTCTCCCAGTAAGACCGTGAGTCCGTTCTTCCAGTTTGCTACGTTGAGCCCACGAGGCCGTCCGAGGACGCCTTCGTCCTCTGGCATGGTGAAAACATGCGAGTTTCGTGTTTATCAGCCATCTTGTGGAACACCACCTCTTGTGCTCAAGACCAGCAACGCTAGGTCCAGGTGCTTGAAAACACTAACCGAACACTCTCACGATCAGCTTCTTGAGCCGAATGTCTGCCAAGCAAGCTGGAAAGATGCGTGCTCGATATCTTCCTGTGCCTGGCATAGCCATCTAGTCGCAGAAAATAACAGCAAAGCCTTGATATCCAAAGCGGGAGCTTTGTCACCACGCATCATGTCCATGAACTCCTGGCGCAGACACCCCATGGTTAGAAGGCCCCGACGCCGGCTGCAAATCCTTCCAATCTTCCCAGGCAACCACAAACCAGCTTTCGAGCTTCGAGGGTGCAAAGGAGCATCAGCGGCTTGGGGTCT